ACACAAATGTCACCCACCACATGACCGACAATGCCACTGCTATTGCGCATCCCCAACACTATCGTGGGCCTAACTTCGTCGAATTAGGTAATGGTTACACACTCAATATTGCATCCACTAGTACAATTCCCCTTGATCTCAATTCTTTTTCGTCCATTTTTTATAATGTCTTCCTTATCCCTTCGTTACATAAAAATCTCATTTCTGTTGCCCGTTTTACATATGATAATAATGTCACCATTTGTTTCTTCCCATTCTGTTATCACATGTATGATTTGCGTACTAGTGCATTGCTATTTCAGGGCCCATGTAAGAATGGACTATATCCGTTGTCAGTTTCTCCTCCTAAAGCTTTAGCTACGTCGTTCGTTGATTGGCATCAATGTCTTGGTCACCCGTCTCTGTCTGTGCTGTTGCGTTTAGGTTCTAGTTTAGGTCCTCATTTTACTCTTTCTCATTTTTTTTTTTGTAAGAGCTGTGCCTTAGGGAAATCCACCCAACTCCCTTTTTAATCAAATAATAAATTTGCTCTTTTTCCTTTTTTTTTTTTTTCTTATTCACTCTAATGTATGGATGTACGTTATCGATTCTGTCTCTAGTTATCATTACTATGTCTTTTTTACTTATGACTATGAAAAAGAAATTTGAAGTTTTTTCCCATTTTCAGACCTTTATGGCTATGACTCATGCATCTATTAAATATTTACAAAGTGATGGTGGCACTGAGTACGTAAATCACTTCATGTCTGAGTTTTGTTGTCTCTCCAAAATTCAGCAACTCCTTTCGTGTCTTCACACGCCCTAACAAAATCGGCTTGTTGAGGGCAAACACCGTCACATCGCTTACATGACGCGCACCTTACTCACCGTAGCCAAAGCTTCACTCATGTTATGGGTTGATGCTACCCTTACTTCTATTCACCTTATTAATTTACTTCCCGCTCCTACCCTCTCTTGGTCAACCCCACACACTCTGTTACTTGGCTTTTCTTCGTCTTACACTCACCTACGTACCTTTGGATGCCCTTGTTTTCCTTATTTGGGCAATTATGTTAAAAACAAACTAACCTCGCACTCCATTGAGTGTGTTTTTGTGGGCTACAGTTCTTCACATAAGGGTTACAGATGCCTCGATCCCACCATGGGCTGGGTTTACATTTCCCACCATGTCGTCTTCAATGAAGTTGAGTTCCCTTTTCACAAACCCACAGGTCTAATGCCATCATCCTATGTGGAGCTTTCCATATGTCCCATTGCTCCAAGCCTAGCACTACTTGCCCACGACCCATCTTCATCTCTTCAGCCTGTCAGCCCACGTGTCGAATCTTCCCCAGCACCAGATTCTCCGTGTCTACCTCATACATCCTTGTCATTTCTTCCACTGCTTCCAGCTGCAGCCCTACCACATTAGCCTACCTCATTGCACCCTATGGTCACTCGCTCCAGAAATGGAACACAGAAAACCAAAACATGGGCTGATGGATCCATTCGTTATCCTCTTTTCCCACGCCTTGACTATGTCTTTATCTACTAATGAACCAACTTGTTTTTCTTAGGTAAATCATCACCCGGAATGGCATGCAGCCATGGTAGAGGAGATCAATGCCCTACTTAAAAATAACACATGGGTCATTGTTCCTCATTCTTCTGCTCAACACAAGATCGGTTACAAATGGGTCTATCGTATCAAGCGCAATGTCGATGGCACTATTGAACACTATAAAACCCGTTTGGTGGCTAAGGGCTTTCATCAACAGCCCATGATTAATTTTGACGAAACATTTAGTCCGGTGGTAAAACCTGCAAATATCTGAACTGTCTTGAACCTCTCGATGTCCAAGGGCTAGCAACTTCGTCAACTCGACGTCAAAAATGCATTCTTACATGGCCACCTTTAGGAGGAAGTTTACATGTCTCAGCCACCTGCCTTTATCCATCCTTAGTATCCTTACCATGTTTGCTGACTTGTGAAAGCCCTCTATGGCCTTAAACAGGCCCCTCGACTTGGTTTACAAGGTTTAGTTCATTTTTATCTTCCTACAGATTTGTTCAAAGTTGAGCAGATAATTCTCTTTTTATTCTCTACTGTGGTACTCATATTATAGTCCTCATCCTCTACGTTGATGACATAGTTTTGACAGGCAATGATGACGTAGTTTTGACAGGCAATGATCCTACTCTTTTACAAGCATTTATCCAGGTGTTGGGTTCTGCTTTTGACTTGAAGGACTTAAGTCCTTTACATTATTTTTTGAATATTCAGGTACAAATAACCACTACTGGTATTCATCTTTCCCAAACCAAATATGCATATGACCTCTTGAAGCACACAAACATGCTTGAATGCAAGCCATGTTCCACTCTCCACACCCACTGAGTTTCGCGCTCTTGTTGGCTGTCTCCAGTACCTGACCTTGACTCGGCCTGACATATCGTTCGTCGTCAACAATGTCGCCCAGTTTATAGTGTCTCCTCGTTAGCCACACCTCTTGGCCATTAAACGTATTCTACGGTACATTAAAGGCTCGTTAACCCATGAAAGAAAATATTACATCAATCAAAACCATACTTGAATCAACCTGTTTTGGTGTCCTAAAACCAAAAAACTCGTGCAAACGGACAATGGAAGAATATATGGACTTGTGTTTCCAAAGCCTCACCACAATGAGGACAAACCGTCTCTAAATGAACACCACATTGATAGAGATTAGCTTGTACCACAATGATATTCTTGTAGCCCTTCCAAATGAAATGTTGTAGTTTCAGGGGTACTTCCAACTGCCAAATTGTTGACTAAACTTCATTCTTTTCTTGATTGTCACTAGATTCTCCCACTCCCTTACGACCGAGCTCTCCATTTTGACTTAGGTCTTGAGCAATTAAATACCCCGACTTAACTGTATACAACCCATTCTTTGTGTAATGCCAAATTAATTTATTGGTGCATCCAGATCTGCTTAGTGGCATACTCAAAATGATGTGGGCTTCTTCAATAAAATCTTTGTTCCACAATCCACCACTCTCATCCATTAACTCCATAACCTTCTCTGGTGTCATCTCCTTATGCAGCTAAAGGGGGTAGAAATGGTCGAGGAGTGGGCAACCATGGGTCCACCCTAATTTGAATATTTTGTCCATCACCCATTCTACATTGGATTCCAGCTTTTAGGATTTTTCTCCCTTGTAAAATCCCTTTCCAGCCCCATGAAGTTCCTCGTCCCATCGGTGCCTCCAAAAACGAAGAAAAAAAATAGTATTTAGCTTTAAGAATTTTTGCTAGGATAGATTCCGGATCACAAATAATTCTCCACCCAACTTTAGCAAGCATTGCAAGGTTGAAAGAAATTATTTCCTTCAAAACCGAGCCCTCATTTTGTTTTTCCCTTCGACATTGGTTCCATGCCATCCAACGTACACCCTTCTTTGTTTTGTGATCACTCCACCAAAATCTTGCAATCAATGTTCCATCTCTTTCGCCAATTGAATTGGAAGCTGGAAACATGACAGTGCATAATTTGGCAAGGCCGAGGCCACACTTTTGATTAGAACTTCATTTCCAACAACCGAATGAAATTGCTCCGCCCACCCATTCACTCGATCGTCCACTTTATTTCTTACCTCTTCAAATACCTTTTTTTTCTTCTCGAGTTTGGTAGCTTGTCGAAGGAATGCCACTACAAAGCTTATTCTCCCTCTTCTTACAGTTGAATAGGCAAACTTCCTAGCCGTAACCGGAATACTCCCTCCCGGTCAAGTGGATCAAACGATGATGCAATCAACCATACAATACACTAAATGAAAATAAGGGTTTTAGGATAGAATGTTGAAGGGATACGTACACACTTTTTTAATGATCTTTTCTATGGTTATGCCAGCGATGATAGACAGATCTGGAAATTGGTCTGTTCAATTAAGCACCGAAGTTAGCTTGGATACTCAAGTACTTTCCAAAACCTTCATAGTGTTTGATATATGACACCTCCGCCAACCAGACCTTCATGTTTTGTGGGCAATTTGATCTGAAATGAACAGAACATTTCTCCAAGTTTATAAATTAACCCGACCTTTCCACATAACATTGGAGTAAGTTGTTAACACATACTACCTCCTCCTTCATTGCTTGAAAAACTAGTATGAAATCATCCGCAAAGAACACATGGGATAAGAGCTCAGCATGTTCTGCTACTTTGAGCCCCCGTAGCCTTCCGTCTCGCTCCTCCTTTTGTAAAAGTGAGGAAAAACCCTCAGCACAAATCAAGAAAAGAAATGGGGAAAGGGATCCTCTCCGGATTCCTTTCGCCAAATCCACCAAATCAGGAGATCCAGGCCATTGAAATTTGATCCAACGACTAAAGTTATTATAACTTTTAAAGGGGCTTCCTGTTTGTAGCCGTTGAATCAAATTTCAATGGCCAAAATCCCCTGATTTGGTGGAAGGGATCCAGAGAGGTTCCCTTTCTAAGAAATGGAGAAAGAGGGACCCCTTGCCGTACTCTTCTACTTGGTGTAATGGCATCTCCCTTAGAAAACACTTGATGTGTTTTAGTTCTAGTTGGAGTATTTGACATCTCCTTTGGAGATGTTTGTTAATAGAAGTCTAATGGTGTTTAAATGTGACTTTAAAATGTCTTTAAAATATGATAGTACTTAAAAAGTCATTAACTTTTAACGGGTTTGAAGTGTGTCATTTAATATTACAATCTAGCAGTATTCATTTTCAATTGTAAGTGAGAAGTTTAAGTTTCGATTCATGAGAATATAGTTAACCCATTGTTAATCAGAAAGTATTTCAAGCGTTTTTTTAACCCAAAATCAGTTTTTGTTTTTTCTTTTCCAGATAATATCAAAAGCACCTTTGGTTCGTTTTCGGTTTTTTAAATCCACTTCCAAATATACCCTTAAACCAACACTGTCAAGAAAGCTTTAAACATTGGGCACAAAGAAGCACGTTTCGGCCCACGTCTTTCCAGACTTAAAAGTTGGGCCTATGCCAGTTGTGGGCTAGATCAGTGAAGCTTTAAAATAAAAACAATTCTGAGTGTATAAATTGATTCACAAGAGTTTTAACCTAAATCTCGCGTGCTCTTATTTCTCCGCAAACCCTATTCGGCCGCCATTGAAGCTCTGCTACGAAGCTCTATTTGTTCACCTACGTAATACGGTAACTTCTCCTCGACATACCTCCATCCATCTTCTACAGTACTCCTTCTATTAATTTATTATCAGTAGAGCAAATTGAATCCGATTCTCATGTATATTATGTATCTGTATGTACGTATATGTGTGTATATATATGTGTGTGTATGTCTGATACCTTGTGATGTTGTTTGGATGGGTAGAGATGAAGGTTGTTGCTGCGTACTTGCTCGCTGTTTTGGGAGGGAAGACGAGCCCCTCAGCTGCTGACTTGAAGGACATTCTTGGATCAGGTAACTTTTATATTAAAAAAAAATTCTTTGTTGCCGCAACGGCGTGCGTTTCATGTTAAAATTGTTATTATTTTCACTGTATTGTTTGTGTTAAATTGGGATTTCCGTTTGTGGGTTTTGCTTGGTTTAGATAATTTAAATTTATTTGTGATAATTTTTCTATTTGTTATACGTATGCTGATCATTAGTATATGTAGTCTTTTATATACAGGTTTCCTAGTCATGCTAGTCCTCTTAGCTTGAATTTTGACTATCGATTTTGATGTTGCGGCTTTCCAGCTCTACGGTTTTGAACTCTTAACCCCTACACCATTGGCAAGGGTTCTAGTCTTGCACCCAACCACTCTTGGACGAAAGAGTTATTCATTTAGTTTATCTGTTAAAAACAAAATTGTGGAGATTTCGGTTGCGTAATATGCTCATTTCGTCTATTAGTTCTTATTAATTTTTAACTTGAGATGGAATTTTGATAATCAGTCTTGCAACCTATATCCATGCGCGTGGTTGAATTTCTGTATTGAAATGGAAGTGGTTTTGTTATTGGAATTCGGTCATTATGTTATCCGGGATGATGAAAGTTAGAGAGAACCTTCATATGTGAGATGTGTCATTAGTAGTAAATTATCCTACTGTTTGCACGGAGAAGATGCTTAGGTTGCCCTTGGTACTAGTGTTTGAAAAAAGTGGTATATTATTATTTGTGCAGCAACGTTTTGCACTTTGAAATGTAACTTAATTATTTGTTTGGTTACAGTTGGAGCCGAGGCCGACAGTGACAAGATTGAGTTGCTGTTGTCCGAAGTCAAGGGAAAAGATATCACCGAGCTAATTGCATCTGGAAGGGAGAAGTTGGCATCTGTTCCATCTGGTGGTGGTGCAGTTGCTTATTCCGCACCTGCAGCCACCGGTGGTGGTGGGGCTGCTGCTCCTGCCGCTGCTGAGCAGAAGAAGGAGGAGAAGGTGGAAGAAAAGGAAGAATCAGACGATGTAAGTATATATTGTCAAATGCAGCTGTTGATAATATCTAGTTTGCTTTATTGTATGCTGGGCTGTACTGATTTTATTGTGATTGTTTAATAACTTCTAAAATCGCTTTTTTTATTTTATTTTTGCAGGATATGGGTTTCAGCCTTTTCGACTGAGGGACTTACTTTTGGTGCGTTTCCTGTATCAAGACTTGACATCTTCAGTATTACTTTCAGACCAATGCTGTGTTCTTGAGTTTCTATTTGTAGTTGGATATGGTTCCAGATCTCAAAAATTTTGTTTCGATATGCAAGTGATCGAAGAAATTTGCTTTATATATTATTTGCATCTATTTGAGTAGACTTAAGATTGCTTGCTCGTGGTTTAATGCGGGTCTGGTTCATTTAAATTTTGCGTTACCATGCCTCTTATATCCTGTTGCTCTTTGCTTCGTTAGCTTTGTATGTAGCGAAATTCATCGACCTTTCCTACTTCATGCAACTTGGTGTTGGACTAAATCCCTCTTCGTTATGTATGCCCGTGAACCAAAAATCAACTTTTTGAAATGCACGTTTACTTATACATGATTGGAAATATCTATGAAAAGCCTTTTAACTATTAGATTCACATTGGTGAAAGTAACTTTGGGTTTTTAGCATCAAAGGGGAGACCTTGAATTGATCACGTGACGTATCAGGTTCAATTAGGGCTGTAAATCGGGTTGATGGAGTTCGAAATTTCGAATTCAACTGATGCTCTACTCGTTTTCCAACTCGTTCTAGCTCGGTGTTGATGAGTTTTGAATTCAACTCGTTTTTGACTCGCAGTTTGGTTCGTACAAAACCAACTTGTCCTTGAACAAAATGTTAGAATTTGCATATGCTACGGAAAGATGTTGGGTTAAGTCGTGCGAAGCTGGAAGTATGCCTTTGAACACATTACTGTTCGGACGTCTGTGTTTGGTTCCGATATTAATCACACAACAATGTACATTATGTAACTGCGCAGATGCGTGTGTGGAATAGACATAAAGCAGCAGAAATGGAGTCCAAGTTCTGCTGTTTTTGCATCCATATACATCTTAAGTGATGGCCTTGTCAATCAACTATTGAATGCTCATCGCTTCCTTGCTCTTATGTCTTTTGTTGTCACCAGCACCATTTGCGAATGCAAGGGCGTCTCAATTAGTTAGGATTGTTTGCAACCAAACCCGAAACCAATTCGCCTAAAACTTTATGCAATGCGTAAAAAGTCTTTGGAAAGATTTTCCGATTCGATCAGCATATAGTCTCAAAGATCCTGATATAGCCGTTCTTAAAATTAGCAGTAGCAAATGCAGCACAAAGCAAAGCCTCTTTTGAAAATGCGCGCAACAATACCAACAACAATGTTAATGGCATCAGAGCTATAAAGCGGTGTGCAAATCGGTCTCCGAAAACCTCACAGAGGCCCAAGACGACTTAATTCGTTGCAAAAAAGCATTGGCCTCTGTTGAAGTTCAGCTCCTTCTGTCAGTATCTACGACGAACCTTTTGCTCATTGTATATAGGGGTATTGCATTCTGCTCATTGTATATAGGGGTATTGCATTCCTTGTTACTTCTCAGTTATTAAATATCTAGGAAAAGGTATGCGAATTATGTTTAAAATTTGAAGGTATTTACGTACCAAAGAATTATCTATGATTGCTATATATAAAAATGGAAGAATATTGGAGGATAAAAAAAAAAGAAGTTCTCATGAAAAGGGTTTGGGTTAAGTTTAATTTAATAAAAGGGAAGTGTTATTGGCACTCCAAAAATCTCATTCTACACTCCTCACAAGTATATTTTTCTTTCTAAATATCGAAAGTTTAGAGTGTAGAATGAGCAATTTGGAGTGCTAATAACAATTCCCTAATAAAAAATCATGCTATAACTTTATTTAAGATTAATGAAAAAAGACTTAAATTTTAATGAAAAACCCTTAACTTTTAATAAAGAAAACAAAAGAACTTAAATTTTAATGAAAATGACACAATTTTAATATTAAAAAAAAAAAAAAAAAACCTGACGCACTTGGATGCGCGTGTCCATCACAGACACTATTTATGAAACAGTAGTACACTATTTATGAAACTTAACGGTACTATATTATTTATGAAACTATGGTATTATACTATTTATGAAATTAAACGGTACTACACTATTTATTGTCCAGATTCATACATAGTGCCTAGTTTTCGGTTCACTTTTGTAAACAGTGCTTAGTTATTGGGTCCTGTTTCGTAAATAGTGTACAATAATTGCTACAATTTCATAAATAGTTCTCATTCTTGATCCAGTTTCATAAAAGTGCCTAGTTCTTGGTCCACTTTCATATATAATGCCTAGTTCTTGGTCATGTTTCATAAATAATGTTTAGTTCTTGGTTTAGTTTCATAAATAGTGTATAGTAGTTGATATAGTTTTATAAATAGTGTCTCTTTTTTTTTTTTTATCTAGTTTCATAAATAATCTCTTTCTTGGTCCAGTGTTTTATATTGAACTCTCTCAATTTTTTTATATTTTCTAATCAAACAAAGAACAAATTAGAACTAGAGGTAATTGAGAATTCATATGGTTCACAACTCAAAGTATTTTGTAAAGTTCCTTATGTTATGTTAATGAACTCCGCAAGTTCTCTCTGAGAATGCTTTTTTATTTTCTTCCAAAAAAAACCCCTTCTCCTGCAAGTTTTTTTTTTTTATGAATCCCCTTTCTCCTGCCATCAATCACTCCACATAAATATTTTTTTAAAAAAAAAAAGTTGCGTCATATATTTTAAATGGATATAAAACTCCATAGAAGCAAATGCATAAGCTGGGAAAAAGCACCAACACACCAAACCAAACAAAATCAGGGCAAAAAATGCTGTGCAATTGCACGCGCGTAGTTAGGTTTTTTTTTTTTTTTTTTTTTTTTTTCTTTTTTTTCTTTTTTCTTGTTCTTATCATTAAATAAAATTATACGATGATTTCTTTTTGTTAAAATTCAAAGTTTTGAAGTCATTTTCATTAGTTTTCCTGAAGAAAAAAAAACAAAACTGATATGAATAACAAATATTGACCTTTTACAATCTCATTTTTGTTCCTCTTTAACTTGAATTTCTTATAATAAATTTGGTGACTTTAATCAAGATGAAATTATGCTATAAGTATTTTAATTAATAGTTGACATCATCGTTATTTGTCCGAATAGTTAAATACATGCTCCAAGTTGTTTCATTCACCACTCGATTCATGCAACTTGTGTTTCTTTATCAAAGAGATAGGGAGATTTGAACTTGAAACGTCTTCAAACATTAGAAAGTACAGTACTCCTGGACATCCAATTTTTTTATATTCTATATACCCATGTCTATCTTGAAGCCCGCTTTGTTTTATGACCTTTCTTTAGATAATATTCCAAAATAACTAGATAATCTTCTAAGACTGGATCCTTTTGCTCATGACATGCTTTTCAAGAATGCAAAATCCTCGATCATAGTCAGTGTATGATTACGAAGAGGTTGCTCGAGTCACTCTTGAATTAGCAGTAACGAATACAAAAGATAGGCGTAGCTTAATTAACATTTAATCGATAGGGATTTGATGGAGCCTGTTAAACAATATTATTTTTGGTACAGCATAGGGATATGGGGAGCCTAGTGAAGTTCAACATCATATTTTAGTATCTACGACAAACTTTATGGTCGTATTAAGCATGGATGTTGCATTCTGTGTTACTTTTCAATTATTAAATATCTAAAAAAATATACTCGAATAATGTATTAAATTTTGAAAGCACTTATGTACAAAATTATGTCTCTGTTTACTATTTATAAAAAGGCAAAAAAATGAACGAATGGTGAAAATAAGAAAGGAAAATATAAATACTAATATGAATAATAAATATCGACCGATGTATGTTCCTTTTTAATTTGAATTTTTTATAATACATTCACTTTACCATGCATTGACTTTAAGATGAAAGTATGTTATACGTGCTTTAATTAAAATTTGACATCATTTCTAACAAGCTCTAAAATGTTTCACTGCACTATTCGATTTCTCTAAATTGTTTTCCTATATCAAATAGAGTGACGAGATTTGAACTTAAAACCTCTTTAACATTATTAAAAAAAATAAGTAGTGGACACCCAGTTTTTTCCTTTTATACACTCATGTTTATAATAAAGGCTTTTTATATTCGCACCCCACAAAATGTTGAATGCACCCCATATTAAAATTTAATATTAAATGACTTATTTACCCCACTATGCAATGACAATTTTAACCTCATTAAGTTTTTTAAAAATAAAATAAAAATTCTAAATATACCTCAAATCACTTTTAGCGTATTATTTCTCTTCTCAACTATCAAAATCCTCTCACCCTCCATTGTTGAACAAAACCCTAACCAATAAAACTACAAACATGTTGATTGAGAAAAATTGTTTCTTATTATTGTAATTTAGTTGACAATATAATGTCTCTGTAGCACTCAATAACTTCGTGTCGCACATATTAGAGTTTGCATGTATTACAGAAAAGGCATTGAATTAAGCCCTGCCGAGGTAAGCATCAATGCCCTTGGACACTTTAATTGCATAATCCGCATAGAGCTTCGGCTCGGGTGCATTTGCATTTGCCTTCTCAACTTCCAAAGTCCATTTTACTGTGCTGCCACCATTTCCTGCTTTGCTAATCTCAAGTTTTGCCTTGAAAGTCTTATACAGCTTCAAAACATCTCCTTCAAGGAAAACAAAGTTGATTGATGTGTTCTCATCATCTGCCGCTGGAATCTTAATTTTTGCTGTAACTGGACCCTCTCCTGCACGATATAAATTTGATTATAAACGTTTATCATCGAAAATGATCATTTTGTATAGTGATGCTGGTATTACTGTCTACTTGGTTGAGAGTCAAATCTCATATACGAAACTCGAACCAATATCAGAGAGCTGCATGTCTGCCATGTCATTTTGAGCAAGAACATGACACACGTTAATAAAAGCTAAAAAATTTAAAACAAACTATAATATGATAGATAGTTTCCCTTTCTACTCAAGGTCATGTGTTCAGTTCTCTCCTCGATCTCTAGGTTCACTCGTATAGTATATATGTATATGTGTGTATATACATACATACATACATACATACATATATATATATACATGCATATATATATATATATATATCTAAAGAACCCAAAAAGAAATGATTTAAATTGTTGGTTAAACATAATAAGTCTCTTACCAAGGTCGTATTTGCAAGAAAAGACGGCACCGGCTCTGAGTACACCTCCTCCTACTACTTCAACGCTCTTGAAGATTTAAGGGAACATCTGCGGGAAAGAGGTGGTGTTGTTCTTGAAGAAGCCATGAAACTTATCTGGCGAGGATTTTATCTCTGCTTGGGCGTCAATCTTGTAAGAAGGATGAAGTTCAAGAGTGTGATCCAAGTGAGGAAGTTATCAATGGTCAAAACAAAGCCACTTGTCAAAAGATTAAATAGGTTGTTATACATATAGTTGGT